CACTAGCCCTCGCTGGACTCGACTAGACTAACAATTAGTCCAGTCCCATGTTCGTTAGCAACCAGGACTGCGTTTAATGGAATTAACCGGGACTCACGTCGACTAAACTTTTTTATCTATCAAATTCTCAAAATTCAACCTGCCTGATAAATTGATTGATGGTTGTTGATGCACAAAACCGGATGGTCTTGGTACAACGTAAATCCGACCGTGAATCTGCACAAACGCTCAAGAACACGAAGAACACAAAGAACACAAGGATTTTATCGTGGTTCACCCCAAGGTTTGGGCTACGTCCACACTGATTGTATTATATTTCTCTGTTGAAGAGGGAGAGAGAGAGCTTAGAGCTTAGGGGGTGTGAGGAAGCTTTGAGAGGGGGTGAGAGGCTTCAGAAATGGCCTCTGAGAGTGAGAGTGAGGCCTCTCCCAATTGTGAGGGTGAGGGGTCCTTTTATAGAATAAGGACTCCTCACCTATTACATATTTGCCCCTTCCTTTATCCCATAATTACATTTAAGTCCCCCGAGTATTTGTACGAGATCTAAATACGAGGCCCTAAATATGGTATAAACAGTAGTCCCCTAAGTCTTCAGTCAAGAGAGTCTTTTGGCTGGAGACTTGAAATTCAGTCCATGTGTGGGCCGAAGTAACTAGATGTCGTCTTGAACTGGTACTTGATATGAGGCGGTGCTCAAAGTGAAATGATGCTCAACTATAAGTAGCACATGTTGCGAGGCCGCTTTGCTTGTGGCGCTTGAAGGTGAGGGGGTTCCTTTTATAGAATAAGGGCTCGCTCCTCAATACATAAATGATGGGCTAGAGTTGATGTTTGCAGCAAGGCGGTTGCTCAGCTGGCGGCGTTGCTCTCTAATGAAGGTAAGGGAGTCCCTTTTATAGAATAAGGGCTCGCTCCTTAATACATAAATAATGGGCTAAGTCCCCCAAATATTTTTCATGAGGCCCAATATATGGTACATAATGTAGTCCCCCAAGTCTTCGGTCAATAGAGTCTGTTGGCTGGAGACTTCAAATTGAATCCATGTATGGGCCGAAGTGGCGGTTGTTCGGAGGCGGTATTTGTATACCCTGCACTGAAGCTTTGTAGGTGAAGCTTTGCAAGTGAAGCTTAAATGAAGCTTTCGAAGCTGGAGCTTTTGTAAATGAAGCTTTTGAATCTGAGCTCTGTAAAATGAAGCTTTTGAAGCAGCTAGAGCTCTGTAAATGAAGCTTTCGAAGCTGGAGCTTTTGTAAATGAAGCTTTTGAATCTAGAGCTCTGTAAATGAAGTCTTTGAAGCTAGAGCTCTTGTAAATGAAGCTTTGAAGCTAGAGCTCTGTAAATGAAGCTTTCGAAGCTGGAGCTTTTTTAAATGAAGCTTTTGAATCTAGAGCTCTGTAAATGAAGTCTTTGAAGCTAGAGCTCTTGTAAATGAAGCTTTTGAAGCTAGAGCTCTTGTAAATGAAGCTTTTGAAGCTAGAGCTCTGTAAATGAAGCTTTTGAAGCTGATTGACATGAGTGATGCTCATGAATGTTTATGTTGATTGACATGAGTGATGCTCATGGATGTTGTCATGAGTGATGCTCATGAATGTTAACATGATGATGCCATGAACAGTGATGGCTCATGAATGTTGACATGATTCATGAATGGTCATGAATGTTTATGTATGATTGTCATGAGTGATGCTCATGAATGTTTATGTATGAATGACATGAGTAGTGCTCATGTATAATTTGGAGTACTAGGCGTACTTGTGATGACCTGGTTGGTGCTATTTCAAGCCTATGGGCTTTTGCCCTCCACAACATGTCAGCCCATTTGTTTTGGGCTTTTCCTTTTTTCTTTTTCTTTTTTTTTTTTTTTTTTTTGTTTTTTTTTTTTTTTTTTGACCCTCTGATGGGGTTTATATATATTACCCTCTGATGGGGTTTATACAGATGTCTCCGAAAGATAATAAATTACATCATTCGGGTGGGGTGTTTATTACTTGTTTTTGCAGTGTTTTTCTGCTGCACTCTCTTCTTCTTTTCTCTTTTTCTTTTCTGCTTTACTTTTGCTTTTGTTTCTGTCTTCTTTTCTCTTTTGTAATTATCTCAGTGGGTAGCCATATTTTCTGCTTTGCTCTTTTCCACCGCAAATCTCATGTTGAAAGGGTAGCCATGCTTTCTGCTTTGCTCTTTTCCACCGCACCGTTCTTTTGCTGCATTTATTATTCTGTTGTTGAGGTCCATGTGCATTAGCCTTTGCTTTACTTTGCAGATGGCAGACAAAAGTAAAGTAAAGTTCTCTTTACTTTGCAGATTGCAGATGGCGGGGGCATCGACTTGTCTTTCTTCTTTTTTCCTCTTTACACACGGTCACAGTCAACACCCCATTCTCCATTGCTGCCTTCACCTGATCAATCTTCGCGTTCTCCGGCAGCCTGAGCCTCCTTATGAACTTGCCGCTGTTTTTTCTGATCGTCAAAAGAAAGTACCGTTCCAGCCATTTGAGGCCAGCAATTACCATCAGGACCTAGCTTGCGGAATTCTCCTCTACGAATAACTGCCTTTGCATAAGGATCCAATGCAATTCTAGAAGAGTCATAGTAGTGTCCCTCATCAGGCGAAAATTTTTCCATCAAATTTGTATCCGTAAAGGATATCTTTGAAATCTCCCTTGAGAATACATGCCACACATTTCCGGTCTTGTTGGTCAAAGGATCAAGAAGGATCTGCTCAGTAACTTTACCCCCCTCTAAATCGGAGAGAGTGATCAGAGAGTGACGGAAAACGCATTGCCGGAATAGAAGGCGAAGTTAATCCCGCCATCACGCGCCGTGGCACCGAGCGGACTCGGATGACCCTGAGATACCTGAAAGGGGCTGCAGTTTCGGCTTTGTCGACCACCGTATTCTCCGCCACCTTGGCCTGTCGGCCCTCGCATGATTCCCAAACCCTCGCATCCGCCAATTCAGACTCTTGGTCTTCTAATTTGGGTTTTAGCGCCTGGCATTGGGAAAGGTGAAACACTGGGTGTTCTGGCGGGGAAGATTGAGGTTGGGAGCGGTGGACCAGGTGCTGCACTTGGTTAGCTGCTGCTGCTGGGCCATTGGTTCATCAGTGAGAGAGAGAGAGTCTTGGAACAAATTCTGATATGCGAGACCGTGGAGGAGCTGATCCGTACAGATCCGCCATAGCTGAACTGCGACCGTGGAGGAGCTCGCTGATAATTTTTCCATCTTCCATGAAAACGGAGATAACCCAGAAATAGAAATCCTGCAACAAATTGTCTAATAATCCTGGAACCATGTGAACGGCGGCTGTTGTGGATCCCAGCGGGAAGTTGTGTCAAATCCTATACGTCGTTGGGGTTGGTTTGGTTTTGACCAACTACAGCAGCCAATCCGAGCTTCAATTTGTGGAGATTTTCTGTTGACCTGCTCAACTGTAAACATAACCCTCGCTTATCCCCTTGTTTCCTCCGTATATGCCTCCGTGGAAGTGGAAATCGAAACGTTTTGGGCCTGTTTGGATGCAGGAATCGGGAAGGATTGGGGCAGTGGAAATGGGCTTGATGAAGGCCTGGGTGAGGTTGAGGTTACCAGCTCGCGGGGAGAGGTATTTTCTCTGCCCACCCATTTCCTTCCCACCGCCGGGAGAGACTTGGGCTGGAGTCTTTCTTACTTCCACATGTTTGTGCTCGATACTTTCCATTACTGAAACAGATGGATAGAGAGAGAGTTGGGCGTCTCTTGGTTTTGCAGATCCACGACGGACAGTGGTGAGATGAAAAAATGAAAGAGAACCGACATAGTTTTTCGTGTCGATTCCCACAGACGGCGCCAAATGTTGATGCACAAAACCGGATGGTCTTGGTACAACGTAAATCCGACCGTGAATCTGCACAAACGCTCAAGAACACGAAGAACACAAAGAACACAAGGATTTTATCGTGGTTCACCCCAAGGTTTGGGCTACGTCCACACTGATTGTATTATATTTCTCTGTTGAAGAGGGAGAGAGAGAGCTTAGAGCTTAGGGGGTGTGAGGAAGCTTTGAGAGGGGGTGAGAGGCTTCAGAAATGGCCTCTGAGAGTGAGAGTGAGGCCTCTCCCAATTGTGAGGGTGAAGGGTCCTTTTATAGAATAAGGACTCCTCACCTATTACATATTTGCCCCTTCCTTTATCCCATAATTACATTTAAGTCCCCCGAGTATTTGTACGAGATCTAAATACGAGGCCCTAAATATGGTATAAACAATGGTAATTTTGATTCAATTTCAAACTTGTGAAGTTGCAACTCCAAAAAGGGCAGCAACGCCTGGCCCTGCAGCTCCAGCTCCACCACCGACCACCTTCTTCAGCCCCCCCCCAACTCGTTAATCAGGTTTGTGTTAATTGGGTTTGATAAAATTATGTTAATCAAGATTTTATTAATTTTTGGATTAAAATTTGGCACTTGGAGTGGATTATGGAGGTAATTTTTGGTTCTTTGCTCAATGTACTTCAAAGGCGTATTGTCACCTTTGAAAGATGCTTTGGTTTAGTGTTCTGGTCTTGATCCTAATGCATCATGGGTGTGCTGCTATTGCCCCAACTTTTTGAACCTCAACTTACTTAACTAGTATGCAGTAAGTTTGGTCATAGACTAATGGATTCACGATTCATCTCTTATGTATTGCATAAGAATATCTGGGTCTCGTTTTCTGTGAGGTTTTAAACAATCTAGCTTATGTTTATGTCATGCGGAAGGAGTAAGATTCTCTCCCCTTCCATCCCCCTCCTATTTAAACGGTTGTGATTACGCCACGTCTACATCTTGTTTTCAATTTTTTATATAGGGAATAAGATAAAAAGAAGAGTGTGAGAGGAGGGGATGGAAGGGGATGGTAATAGGAGGGGAGAGAATCCTACTCCCATGCGGAATATATTTTTCGTAATTGAAGCTTGCTGAATGCTTGATTGACTTGTTGACTGCAGAACTCGCCGTATGACCCATGCAGCATGGGCCATGCTCAACACACTGCTGCTTGCACTGGTGCCCCTTGTGCCATGAGCACAGGGAGATGAGGGATAACCCCAAAGATGTTGGGTTTAGTCACACTACAGTGTAACACTGGTCAATTGAAGGTAAGATGCCTTAAATAAGTTATTTGAGTATTATACAATCATACTTCTTCAGGTTTTTGTTATATGGAAACAATCATATTTATGGCATCAACTTGTGTCCACCAGTGTTCTTTTTTCTCAGCCGAGGAAAATTGTTAGAAATTGCAACACTGTTGGGATCTTTTGCTACCCTGTTTGAGTTCCCACAAATGAATCCCATTTTCTTGAATCTTGCTCATTGAGTGTTTGCAGCCAACCCTCTAATTGTCAATCTCTATTTATATTCAAACTTTTACTTCTATTCTTAATACATTCAATTTATCCTCATAAACTATTGTGGGAATTATAGTTCCCAGTGATTGATATTGTGAAACAACTCTGCTGCTGTACTAGTTTTGTTTTCCTTCTCTTTTTTGTTTATAAAGTTCACTATTTTTCAAAAGATACAACCCCTCGTTTAAAGCCACTACTGCTTCTCAATGTCAATCTTGTTTTTTCTAGAGGCCACAATTGGTGAAAGGAAATTTGCAACTGTTGTCCGTGGATTAAATTTTTTTTCTTTCTTGCTGCAGCTGCTGCTCCACTGTTATTAACAGCCGTTAGCGGCGATTGTTGGTCGTTGGGAGAAGGTGAAATCTATTGCTGAGCTACCTCAACTCTCTTCAGAACACAAGGCAGCCAGCAACCACTGAAAGCCAATTGCCGTGTACACTCAAAATGTTGCAGAGTGCAGGAAGTTATGGATTTTCTGAGTTCTGAAAGCGAATTAAGAGTGCTGCAAGTCAGAAATGACGTTACACGAGGATGTGTCTTCGGGGCCAAGGAAGCGAAGGACGACACATTTTGTTGTATAGTTCCTAACTAGTAATTATGTAAAGGCTAGTAGTATTGCATTCGTTTATTCTTTTTGCTCATTATTGCAATAAGAAGCCCAAGCTGAAGAGAAATAACAGGTTGAGTGGTATGAATAAGGATTTTGTTGTTGTACGTTCTCTTGGTTGTGTCTCCTTTTGTGTCATCCATTTCAAATGAGCCCAAAAAGGAAGGACAAGAAATGGGAGTGTAAAGGAAAACTAGAACAAGAAAGAACACCCACTAGTTTGGTTTTGTTGTTTCTTTGTTTTAGTTTGTAGTAAGAAGTTCAAATCTGATTATAAGAATTTTGATAAGTGGCTCAAATTCACCTGTTATATTTTTTTATTTTTTTATTTTTTTGGAATTGTTTCATTGATTTCTCATTTTTTTTTCTTCCAAGATTGCTTATATTTAGCTTTGTACCTCGGTTTGTCGATTGGGGTTCTGCTACTTTGGTGTTGGAATGAAGCAAATAACATTTAATATTTTTTTATACATCATTGGTTTTTTTTTCTTTTCATCATCTTGCTTCTTAGTTCGACACTGCACCAAACGCTTCACTAAATTAGTCCAGCCTAGCAGCCTATTCTAAGGTAGTCTAGCTTAGTCCTAGAAGTTAGTCCAGTTCGAGATAGTTCAATGCAACAAACGCACCCTTACTATTTAACTGAAACAAGGGTTGGTTATATTGTGTTATTGCGATTTTCCATTTCATCTCCGCTCTGTAATTTCCACAAATAAGCCATCAAAGATTTAAACCAGATTTTTTTTAAGCAAACGATATTATCTATAATAAGGGAGCAGGGGAGTGGTTAAGTCTCACACTGAGCTAACAATAATATGGTTCAAATTCGCATTTGACGAAAATCGAACCTAAGACCTCTCATTTACAAGTGAAGAGGAATACCACCAGACCGTAGTACTAAATGGTCAGATTTAAACTAGATATTTAGCAAGAGTAAATTAATATTATATCTGGAGATTGGTGTTAAGACTACTTTGCATCCGGGTTAAACGTTGTTATATTGTCTTAAATTTTTATCCTGTAACCGGCATTTGTGTGTGTGTTGCATGCGCGGTGCCTTAATTTTGTAGCACCATATCTTCTGTTATCTTAGAAGCTCAACAACGTTTATGACTTAAGCGTAAGAGAAAAGAGAGAGATCGTTCTTCCCTCCTTGTGAAGTGATCAACAATAACGAACATGTTTAAAAATAATTAAGGTTATATAATTACTAAGTGCATGGATCACAAAAAATGACTTTTTTTGTCCAACGATCGATTTGTTAGATTACATGTTAAATTAGAAAGCCAACGATGTTCGAACCCACACCGTGATGCAAGAACAACGCTTATCTCCATCACTTTGGAACAGGCACCATAAACAATGACTTTAAAATTGCATCCTAAAAGTTAGAAAGAACTTGGTCTATTATACTTAAATTATAACTAGTCGTAAGAGAAAAGAGAGATATCGTTCTTCCCTCCTTGTGAAGGGATGAAAATAATGAACATGTTTAAAAATTAATGTAGATTATACAATTAACTTACTAAGTGCATGCAACATAAAAAATGACCTTAAAATCGCATCCTAAAAGTTAGAAAGAACTGTCTTCCAAAAAAAAGAAAAAAAGTTAGAAAGAACTTGGTCTACTATACGCAATTGATTTCCTGATGTTTCTGAAACACATGGCATTGTCATCAGTATTATACTTCAATTATAACTAGTCGATTTGTTTTTAATAATATATACTCTAAAATTATGACATATCAATTGAAGCGTCCACTCTTAATATAACACATAAAGTAATATAAATTTAGTTTATGTTGTAGTCAGATACGTATTAAATTTATCTAAATAAGAACTTTATCCATAAAAGGGTGATAGATAAATCACGTAGGGTATGGTGGTACTGTATTTGTCTCAATTATTGACTAGGCCGAAATTATTTTTTCTTTCTTTGGTTTTAGTTGAGAACAATACAAACCTAACCTTATTAGCATTTCATTAATCACGGAATTTGGGTTTTGCTTGCATTGTTATCTCAAATTTATTTTCCTCTTTTTTTTTTTCAAACTATACTTTCTTTTGATTTGAAAAATGTTTTAATTTAATTTCAACTAGCAAAATGAGTGTAGTCATATTGGTTAGAGTTTATGTACTTCTTCATATGCGCCCGAGTTCTAATTATAATCCTCACATTAAATTAATTTAAAATAAAATATCGCTTGTATTAAAAAAAAAAAATCTTACTAGTAAGAAAATATTCAAACTTGAATTGCACAACAAACACGCTAACCAACTTTACTACGTCAGGCCTACAAATTTACTTGCAATACTACTAAACAACGTACACAAATATTAAATTTAGTGTTACTATAGATTTGTACATGCATATTACTTGAACACAGTTATCATTCATGTGATTAGAATCGAGGTCGAGAGACGGAGATGGAGAAGAAGAAGAAGAAGAGGCTTCTTTACAGCGGAAAACGAAAAGTAATAGAAGAAAAAAGTGGATAGAATCCTCCGGTTCTGCCTATTGAAATTTTGGATTACAAGATTTGGGGCGGTCGCCTGCGAATATGGGGGTTCGAGTGGTGGAGGGGATGGTTGCGCTGTGGTTGCATGTATGGTTTAGGATGGATTGAATTGGACTTGAGAAAGATTGGAAAGAAAAAAAGAAAAAAAAAACTATTTAATCTCAGCGGTACAACATTATTAATTCATCCAATCTATGAGAATGTGATTCCCATATTTTTTTCAAAATTGAAGATCCCTTTGCTTAAAGAATCTAAATATATACATAATACACGGGATGACAATTCTAACCGTTAAAATCGATAACCGTGGATAACCACCTAAATGGATTTGATTGGATTTGGATATGGGGAAAAACTGTGAATAATATTTGGTTTTGGTTTTGGATATGGTTATAGGGGTTTCCAATCTATATCTATCCCCGAATCCGAACCAAATTATATATAATACAATTGTATTATATATATATATATATATATATATATATATATTATTCATTGAATCCATTACCTTGAGAATACAAAAGTTGCACTGTGTGAGTTGCATTTTGTGGACAAGTTAAAAAGTTTTGATATGAATCAAAATCTATGAGAATCCAGACTAATAGTACTTATAGGAGATATCAAAGATCAGCCAACATTATAAATGTTTAGCTTTAATTTTTATGCTCCACAAGAGTCATTCATTAAATCATTTTATACATCAAATATTTAATGACGAAATTAATATTTATTAAATTATCATGCGTTAATTGAACGAATATAATTTTGGTATTGATGAAGATGAATATAATCGTTTACCGATAAAGAATCTGTTACCTGATGGGTAAGGTTATAAATAATGCCCGATTGTTAATTGGCAGTTATAAATATAATTAATTTTCATGATTATGGATATAAATATAGCATTTTCATCCCTAAACCAAACCGTTGACATCCCTACGTAATAGTGATGCAAAAGGTCGAATGATATGCAATCATGCATGCATATAATTGCATAGTGGACCATTTGTTGCATAAAAAATGTTGATTAAGAAAGTTTCATAATGTAGTGTATAATATGGACCCATTCTTGCCTTTGTTTATTCATGGTCGATGATTCGATGGTGGATCTGTAACCCACCCCTGCGACTGCCTCCGTACGGTTTGGAAGTGACAAAAAGAAAATTAATAAAAAAAATAAAAAGGGTTCAGACCTTTGATATCATTGTATATCCTTTGCTGTGCTGTTAGAGCAAGTTCACCGAAGCTTTCTTTGCCCAGCACCCAGTAAAAAAAAACACACTGGGGGTCTGTCCATTCACTCTAGCCCATAAAGTTGTATGGCACCCAGCCCAAGCCAGGCAACAGACCAGCCCATTTTTGACAGACCCAAGAGCCGGCCTATTTGGCTGGCGCATGCACGACACTCGCGCGTGGCCGTGAGTAGGCAACAAGGTTGTAGAGGGTTGTTAGCCCACTTGTGCTCCGGAGCCCCATTAGTGACGTGACATGCTCATAGCCGTTGGATTTTCAACGGTAAAAAAATTTAAATTTGACTTTTAAAATGGACCGTTCGATCACAGATCAACGGTCCACGTTTTTTTTTCAAAAAAAAAGGCCCAACGGTCAGAAATATGACCGTTGGCCACGTGGCAAATCCCTGGCTCTTGGATTTGAATATTTTTCAAATCCAACGGTCGAGATTAATTAACTATATTAAAAATTATTAAAAATACAGAAAAATTATTAAAAAATACAGAAAACTTTTTTAAAATGTTTTTTTTTTCTATAAATACCTAACCCTTATCTTCGACCTTTAGATGAAATTTTTTAAAAATGTTATTTTTTTTTACGTTTATCAGCATACAGTACCTCAGACAAAAAATAAAAATAAAAAACATTCAAATCAAATCTGATCTGAAAAAATAAATGAACTTTAACGAAAAGCTTTTGTACTCTTTATTTTAACGAAAAACCACATTTTTACACTAAAAAATCAATCCTGATACTATTCACTTTACCCTTTATTTTATCCTTATCGTTAAAACTCAAAGTTTTCAAACATTTTTCATTTGTTTTTCTGAAAAATAATTCTGAGGAGCTGATGTGTTATTGCAGTATCATTATCGGCTGCGGATATCTATGGCAGCCAGAGCAGGTACGTAGAATATATAGGAAGCTTCCCCGTATATAAAACGAGTGTGAAGTGTGAGTAATGTTCGAGCCTGACTTGTTAAAGAGAGGACACTAACTGCAACTTTTATCAACCTATGCCAACCAATCTGCATCACATTCATATTTCCCCACGATCCCACATGGATTTTTAGCACGATAGTATATTTCGATACAAGCGATATTGAAAAATAAGAAATTGACCATACATATATATGACTTCAAGTACACAGATGAATGTTCTTAATCATTCATGTATCTCCCACAATTCCGTGTTTAATTGGATAACATATTTCGATTTAATGATAATGAGGAAAGTGAGACCGTCGTATACGATTTCAAATGTACATATGAATGTTCTTAATCATTTGAGCTGCTCGCTTCTTGCAATAACATGGTTTGTTAAACAAGACTTTGCGATTTCCAAAAAAAAAAACAAGACTTTGCCAATGTTCTCTTTTTGAGCTAAGTCGATGGGACTCGTGGATATTGGTAGATGGATGGGTAATGTTAAATCCGTGAGGATATCTGAGTTCCTTGTACGGTTTTCAGGTAGATTGATAAAGTACTTCACATGCTACCACTGGAAGCAATACTATTTGTAATAATGGGATTTTCTCTTAAAACACTTTGCAAAAAATGGATTTAGTGGTTAATTATGACATCTCCTTCCCCACATGAACTTGAACTAAAAAAAATAAAGAAATAAAAAAAACATAGAATTGCACCTCAAGATTAAGTTAACAAATCACGAACATAAATGAGAAAAGAACGCCCCGACTCTCCTATTAGACTTTTCTGAAGCGGTTGAATTTAATAGTCGGTTACAACTACATTATCCTAATCATATTAGTGTTTTGAATAAAATTATTAAATATTAAACATCTAAAAGTGCAACACCTTCTCTGTCCTTATCATTTTGGACTCTTGATATTCCCTACGACTTACCAAATATTTGATAACTCAAATTATGAACATGCCAGAGAACAATGCCAGAACGGATCACGTTTGCATCAATAATTTTTAATTACCGCATTTATTGAAAAAAAAAAAGAACGAAAAGAAAAAAAATCATATATACAGGAGAATATAAGGAGCTTCCATCGTCTCTTTTTGAGATTTTTGAATTATATTCCGGGCAAAAACAAAATTACAAGAAAACCCGGGCACTGATATTTATAGTTCCTCTTTTTTTCGACCATTTAATTTTTAATCTACCTCAAAATATTAATTGTTTCCTTCTGGTTTCTGGGTGCTAACAGTCACCGGCGACTGGCTCTTCCGGTCGGTACATCAAACAGCTCAGCTCCGGCCTCAGCTTGTCTTTCCATATTTGCGGCCCACATTCAGCTTCCCTTTGCCTTAATTTCAACTCCACCACAACCAGCTTCTCCGTTAACCGGTAAATCCCAATCATTACAACAAAATTCCCATTCTGCCCCGCCAGTTTCGCCCCCCAGCTCTTCTTCTCCGTCACCGCCATGTCCCCCGCCTTAGCCACCTCCTCCACCTTCTCCATTATCCTCTCCGGCGTCTCCGCCGACACGAACCGCTCCCCGCAGTCCGATATCCCGGACTTGCTAAACAAACCCGATATATCGAACCCCGACGAGAACGAAATCAAATCAAACGCGTTCAACGACGACGTCTCGTCGCTGTCCCCGTCCCGCATGTCCTTCAAGTCGAAGTCCTCGAAGTGGAATTTAATCTCCTGGTAACCCTTCGCGAACCACGGGTCCTTCAAAATCTCGTCGACGGTTATCCGCGTCTCGGAGTTCGTGTCGAGAAGCCGAGATATCAGGCGCTTCAGATCGGGCGACGTCCATTTCGGGACCCGATAATCTCCCTTGTAAATTTTCCGGTACATCACCATGAGATTCGGGTCGTTAAACGGCAGGTAACCGGCGTTAAGCACGAACAAAACGATGCCGCACGACCAGATGTCGATCTTCGCGCCGTCGTACCCCTTCTTCGCTAGAATCTCCGGCGCCACGTACGCAGGAGTCCCGCAAAGCGTGTAGAGGAGACCGTCGGGCCGGACCTGCTCCGTCACGGCGCTGAGGCCGAAGTCCGAGACTTTCAAATTCCAGTTCTCGTCGAGGAGCAGATTCTCAGGTTTCAAATCACGGTGGAACACTCCCCGCGAGTGGCAGTATCCGACGGCGGAGATCAGCTGCTGGAAGTACCGACGGCTGAGATCCTCGCTGAACCGGCCCTTCGAGATCTTTGCAAAGAGCTCTCCGCCTTTTGCAAACTCCATGATGAAATAGATCTTGGTCTTCGTCGCTAAAACCTCGAACAGCTTCACGATATGCGGGTGGCGCAGCCGGCGCATGATGGAGATCTCCCGCTTAACGTGAGCCGTGAACCCGTCCTTCACGACCTTCTGCTTGCTGACGGCCTTGATCGCCACGCTCTGCCCCGTGTGGACATTCCGAGCGTGGTACACCTTCGCGAAAGCCCCGCAGCCCAGAAGCCTCCCGACCTCGTACTTACCGAATAGGTTGACCTCGCCGGCGCTGGAGCCGTCTCTGTTATCGGTGACGACCTCGATCTCCGGCATGGCTCCCTAATTTTTCGGAGACTACAAAAAAAATCCCAATTACTCCCCTCGCATTCGGGGCCTTAATCGAGCTCCGAAACGATTTGCCGAAAAAATCTCAACGGCGTAGTTTGGATTCGAAACAGACGAAGTTCCAAAACGGATTTTTAGTTCGGAAAAAACAATTGTAATTTTTTCGAAACAGGTTTTTTGTCGCTCTGTCGATTGCAATTGTTCCAGCTATTTAAAGTGGTTGGGGTTCACGTGCCCAGGAGTCCGACGTGGAAACCAATTGCGACCACCCACGTGTCCAGGTTTCTTCGCGGAAGCGGTTTCCTCGTCTTTTATTCAACTGCTGTTCAAAGGCTTTAATATGGTGTAACTGGCGTACGGTGTTCCCTAATCATTGACCGGTGATATGTGATTCGCTGACCGAGGATTTGAATCTGACAGTCGTCCAGCGTTTATCCGACGGAGAGTGTAAACGCCCCGCTTTACGCAGAGTTTTGATATACTTTTCTTGCATTGAAATTACAGTGTAGCGCGTGTTCTGTAACCACCAAGAAAGTATAAATTTGATCTATAAGAACATTCTTTTTTTATTCTTTTTTTTCACTGTGAAGGTATAAAATATGCCTTTCAAGTTCTTAAAGACGAATATTCCAATCTAATAGTAATATAAATTATATGGTATACGAATATTTCAATCTAATCTAATAATTGTGAGTATGAAGTTAAAACTAATAATGGAAGAACAATCACGAAATGAAGGAAAACAAAAAGCAAAGTAATATTAAAAGTATGCACCTGATTATTTCAGTGAAAATATAACAGCTATGGGAATTGGGAATACAGAATCACCAAAAGCCCAAAAATATTTCGGGATTCCCGATTGTCCCGAAATACCGAAACTATTTCAGGATTCCAAAAAATTGAAATTCCTGAAATTTTGATTTGAAATCGGTCTTGAAATTAGGAATACCAAAAATTTCGGTTTCAGAATTGAGACTAAAGATTTGGTTCGGTATCCCATACCGAACCACCCCTAAAAATGCCTAATACTTGATCTCGCATATTTTCCTTCATGAACTGGTTAATTAACTTGAGTTTATCACATTCTCTTAATCCAATTTATTTCAATCAATCGCTTTCTTCTTGTCACATCTTCTAATAGCGGACGCTGTTGGGATTATGTTTTACTTTAGTTTCTTTTTGTTGGGATTTAGCCGTATTGAGAAAGAAAGGAAAAAGTGATTGAACTTTAACCGTTCCATTTGCCTTTGTCCATCTGTTCAGATTGGTTTTGAAACGATTATATACAGGATCATCCCATCTAATCGGAAAGATTAATTTAACTTTTGATCATATCCTTCGCTGATTACATGTGAAACACTTGCAATATGAAAACGTTAAAAAAAACAGCAAAGTGATCCGTGCATGCATGAATGAAAATTTGCATGTGAAAGAAATGAGAGTGGACCATCTCACTCCTCCAACTGCACCTTTAATTGGTTAGGTCTGATTTGTCCCACATTTTGATTCAAATCCTGTCCTTATATACAATAATATAATATAAGCTTGCCCTCAAATGTAAAACACATGAGTCATGATGACACACTATGTGTGGCAGAGTAAACTTATTAAGAATAATTGATAGAATGAGATATTTTAATTGAGTTTTTAAGTAAGTTGAGTTACTCTTCATATTACCAATTGGTTTTATGGTGAAACCTCAACTTTTTTCGTTGTATCAAAGCTAATTGTGCTGCGTGTGAAGCTCAAGGGCTACACGTGCTCTACATTACTCGATTTGTGTTGTCTAAGTGCTAGACTTGAAAATTTGGTACATGTGAAAATGCGTGTTAAGAGTATCAAACCCACATTGAGGAAAGAAGATACCTCGTATGTGCTTATATATTTGAGTTATTCTTCATATTATGAATTGATTTTAGGGAACTTTAACGAAAAGCACTCGGTACTGTTCACTTTAACGAAAAACCACATTTTTACACTAAAAAGTCAATCCTGTTACTATTCACTTTACCCTTTATTTTGTCCTTATCATTAAAACTCAAAGTTTTCAAGCCCTTTTCATTAGTTTTCCTTTGATTTTATAATGAAACCTTAACTTTGTTTGTAGTATCAATATTTTTATTATATCAATGCTTTCATTTCCCACCAGATGAAGTAAATGATACTCATTAGATCACCCTTTATCGTAAAGTGATCATGAACTCTAAGCCAAATCAAAAAGAGGGAGATATCATAAATCACAATAATCACATTCTAAATTTAGTATAAAAGACAAAAAAATAAATATTCTACTGTTGAAAGAGTACAATTACGTGTAGGTATAGTGAATTTGAATTTAAGACATATAAAGAGTTCAATTATTTGCAAACTAGCTCACTAATAGAAGATTAAGCTCACTAATAGAAAAGTTAAAAGTACTAATAAATTAATTGCAAACTAGCTCACTAATAGAAGATTAAGCTGGCTTAACCTAATTACTGAACTATGAACATGCTTAAACATTAAATCCAACAAGGGAATCACTTCACATGACACCCTAGCTATTTGTTAGCAATTTACCCATTTCTTGTTGGCTGTTTCCCATCTCTCTATCTACACTCACGTCATGTCAATTCAAAAGTGATGTGAACATTGACAATAGAGGATTTAGGATTCTAACATCGAGTGATCATAATATAAAAGACCAAACAAAGGTGGTGTTTATTAATTTTTTTAATTAAAAATGGACTCCCTCACATGGCTTAATAAAAAGACTTGCTTTTAATTATTTTGTTTTAAATGACTTGGCTCAGACGTCGATTTGGCCAACTCTTAAAAAAAACAAAATAGTCTTATTCTCCCTTGTTAATCATTTGCAGAACTATCCAAATTTGGGTGGTCTTCAGAAGTTTTCACAACCACTTATTCAGACTACCTGGACCACCCTAATTCCTTAATACATCCACCACTGAACATTGAGAAGATTTGAATTCTCTCTTCTCCCTTTTCCCCTCCCCTCCCTCCCCTCCTTTCTCAGTTTCCTCTTCTTCTTTCTCTTTCTACAGAAAATGTAAAACAAGATGATGATGTGGCTTAATCTTGAGAGTTCAAATAGGAGGGGAAGGGAAGATAGGGGGAGAGAATCCAAGTACGCATAATGCATAATAAAAATTAACAATTAATTAGTTGACTACAATTGTCATGAATTATTAGATTATTTATAGTAAGATGGGATCATGGATAATTATACGTTGAAACAACGTATTAGAAATAAGTTGCTTGAAATCTTGGACAATGCAGATGCCCATGTATTTGCAGATATGTTGAATTATTGTAGATGGGGTTCACGTGATGCGAGCCCCACTAGCTTAGCTTGATACAATTATTTAGTTATTCACAATTTAATGTGTGAGTTTGGATCCTTTTTAGTTGAAAAGAAATTTTATTAAGAACACTCAAGAACTTACATATACGTTTGATATGTATATCAAACATTGATTTCAGAACAAATTTTACCGTGAAAGAACCAAAGAATCAATGGAAAATAAATAAGAGGTCAACATATCAAAATACTCATTGTAACTCCACAATTTATAACGTCAATCATAAATATAAAGGCAATTTCCCAAACCTAGAAGACTCACATCTAACCAACATGGATGATAACACTTATGAGAACTAAACATGCAAGTCGAAATGACTATTGTAAATGTAGCATGAGGAATAGACCGCACCACCCTCTGCTTCACAAGTCAGGTGCCTATAGCACTGCCCTGATAACATACAACTAAAGGGATTTCTTTCCTATAAATAGTCAAGTCATATAAGAGAAAGGAAAATGCTAAGGGCACCAGTCATACTAGTGTTTCATCTAATGTGGCAAGTAATGCGTACGTGTCATGTTAATTAATGAGTTTGCTAACTGTATGAATTATTTGTCACATCATGTGGTACACTAATATGATACAAAAATGAATTATTCCTAACATTACTGTAACGAAAACTAGGATAATTATTTGACATTTGTTCTATATTTCTTTTTCAAATATAATTGTTCTATATTAAATGAAGTATAGAAGCAAAGCTTTCTAACGAATAATGAGTATACTTGTAGAAGTAAAGGTTTTATCCTATTCATAATACGTTGGACTATTGTTAATTATTTGACAATTGATATGGATAAATGTATGGGAACTTTAACGAAAAGCTCACGGTACTGTTCACTTTAACGAAAAACCACATTTTTACACTAAAAAGTCAATCCTGGTACTATTCATTTTACCCTTTATTTTGTCCTTATCATTAAAACTCAAAGTTTTTAAGTCATTTTCATTAGTTTTCCTTAAATGTATTTGGTTCAAAATTCAAAATATAGATGTTATCGACAAAAAATCTATTTATTGTCGGACTTAAGATTGTCTATTCATAATTTTCATTAGGAGTAATGCTAGATAGATCAATTGTTTAGACCAAATTTTATAAATCAGATACGTGATTGACAATTGAATTATTACTTTAGTGTTGATTAACGTGTTTATTTTCTATTAGTGATACATCACATAATTTTCAATTTTAATCTAAAAATTTAGCTACCTAACATTACTATTCCCAACCGCTATTAACAACGAAATAAGTATTGCCTAGGAATAATAGGTATAAAAACCAATTTTATGTATGATTACAAAAAGGGAATTGTTATTGACATTAAAAAAAGAGAATTTATTGTTTATAGCCAAAATTTAGCTCTTCAATTCATAAATGTCAATTTTTATAAAAACTTTCAAATCTACCCAAAACTTTACATTAATATACCAAAATACCCTCCTATTAAAAAACCACACACCAAAGAGATGTTTATTTTCTGTTCATTCTTTTTTTTTTTACTTTTCAATTTAGGGTTCCATGTTGTAATTCGAAAATATAGAAAGAAATATGGCATATTTTCTGATGGAATCAAGCTCATTATATTCTCAAATTCAATTCATAATTGACAAACTTACAACCAAGAC